AAAAAAAACCCTGCAACCCTGATTTGCATTTGTATAGCTCACAGCATGTTCATTTACATGTTAAAGCCTCCCCTAGAATTCCATGGGGGGAACACTGCCTAAGAAAGTCGACGTCAATTTCTGACAATTTACGGGAGTTTTCGGCGAAGCCTGCAAATTGTCGTAAACTGCCGCTAACCTGAAGTTCCACGACAATCTACAGTGCCGCATATTGACGAAAATCCCACTTTTCATGCAGTGTCAGCCTGATAAGAACTACAGTACAAGTACAACGCAATGGGATAAAGTAATTGATACCTAACAAACACTTACCATTAAATATAATTAAGGAATAATTGAAATTGGATGGATGGATGAATGGATGGATGGATGGATGGATGGATGGACGGACGGACGGACGGACGGACGGACGGACAGTCAGAAAGACAGACGAGCCTGTAGTTTTCATCTACAGGCTCGTAGAGGTCTGCTTTTGTCGGAACATGCCCTTAAAAAATTCTCTAAATCCCCCAAAGATACAAGGTTTACAGTTTTGGGGTTTTGGAAGATGAGTTCTTAAATATTTTACCACTACAGTCTGAACTGGAAAACACTCCAGAAGCAGATTATTTCTGGCTAGTTCATCAAAGTTAAATTTACTTTGACATTGTTTTCTACCTTTAAATAGAAACTGTGGAGACATCCACATCTTTGGGAAATGTTCCCTTTTCAATGAAGAACTGCAGGTCATGAAAGATTGCTAATGAATCCATTGTGTCATCGGTACTGTTGGAGTGCACAGTTAAGAACAGAGAAAATCAAAGATTTAAACAAATATAAATGTATACAATGTGACATTTTTGCGCATACTCAGAGCTGTCAAAGTAATGATCAAAAGGCAATTTAACAATTCTTTTATGTATTTGTGTTTTTTCATTTTTAGAATATGCAATAATGACGCAAATACAAAGATATACAAAAAGAAACCCCTGCCCCACAAAAAGACAACAGAATAGAAACGTAAGAAAAACAAAAAATTGGAAGTTATTCTGTTTGCGCATGCGCGAATGAGCATATGGAATGGATTGTGCTACCACTACGGATCGGGTAGTGACAGTAACAGCTGCATCAAATAATTATAACTCTAATCTGCTCACTTACGATGATTTTGGGCCTTTCACAGCCAGGTGTCTTCTGGATCGGCTGTTAAAATCCAGTTATTCCCACCAATTTAGTGACTTAGGCTAGGCTATCAGCAGAGCTATTAATTATTAACCAAAGAAATATTTATCACTGTTTATTCAAATGTCATCAAAAAGATAGTGAATCAACCATTTGCTGTACAAAGCAGGAACGAAAAGCTAAAAAAATTTCTTTACTCTAATAATTCACGATTACAGAAATCTAACATCTATGCAAACACTACACGCTATTAGAAAATAAGGTAGACTAAATGTGAGGACATTATTCCTAGATATAGCATTCCTGAAAGAATATATAGTGATAAAGGAATCGAATGTTTTAACCACATAGTACAAAAGATAGTATTACTCTTTCACATAAATTAAGATATAAATAAATAATTGTGCTTGATTGAAAGTCTGATAATAGGATGGACTCAGACATTTAGATTCTGGGTATATCTGAAAGTGGGTGAAGAAAAAGAGGTAAACCAAACCAAGTAAAGTAGTTGAAATTTCAGTCTAAATGAAGTGGTTAAAGTGTTCAATCTACTGTTTTATGTTGACACTTATTACCCCCAACATATTTATCACAGTCTCCAATGGAGGCGTTGGGACATCTAATGGTACGGTGGCCCTGAAGTGCAAACTACAACTACAAATCTAAAAGCGCAATTACATTAAGGAAATAGCAACTACATACATAAAGCAAAGCGCAACTACATTAAGGAAAACAAAACTATATAAAGCAAAGCGCAACTACAGTTTTGTTTTTCTTAATGTAGTTGCGCTTTGCTTTATGTAGTTTTGTTTTTCTTAATGTAGTTGCACTTTGCTTTATGTAGTTTTGTTTTTCTTAATGTAGTTGCGCTTTGCTTTATGTAGTTTTGTTTTTCTTAATGTAGTTGCGCTTTGCTTTATGTAGTTTTGTTTTTCTTAATGTAGTTGCACTTTGCTTTATGTAGTTTTGTTTTTCTTAATGTAGTTGCGCTTTGCTTTATGTAGTTTTGTTTTTCTTAATGTAGTTGCGCTTTGCTTTATGTAGTTGCGATTTCCTTAATGTAATTGCACTTTTAGATTTGTAGTTGCAGTTTGCACTTCAGGGCCACCGTATAATGGTGATGTACTAGCGGACTATTTAGGAGCTGTCCATCTGCTGAAACTGCAGCCAGGTGAAGACTACCAGCATCTGCTGTGGGCTTTGCAGGTGAAGGAGGCAGAACGGCTGAAACAGAGGAACCTGAACGAGTGGCTTCAGGAGTGGCCAAGCCAAGCCCAGGATTAGATCTCCTCCCTTAAGTCTCAGAAAGCCTTACACTGTCGGAAAATCCACACAGAGCTGCTGGATCGGGTCAACCCCTGTTTATGCTGTAACGTTTTGAAAAGCATAAATTCAGATTATTTGCTGACGACTTGATAGTATACAAGGGACAACCAGATTTGAGTTTTCTATGCTAATGGCTTAGTAGAGGAATTTGGACAATATCTGGTTACAGATTAAATGTAATGAAGACATCAATTTTAGCACAAATTTTAACTACAGCCTAATAATGGAGATCAGAGATAAATATAGACTTAAGTTGTATGCTTACAAAATTAAATATCTGGAGGTAAAGGAATATTATAAAAGGGATATACCAAATATAAAATGCAAATTATGAACAAATTAATATGAATATTAAGAGATTTAAGAAGATGGGCAATGTAATTGTTTGCCTCTTTTAGTTGTTTTTTTGTTAAGTGGGAGAAAACCAGAGCACCTGGAGAAAAACCCATTTAAAAAAACAAAAAAATAAAAAAAAAGAACAGAAAAAAAATAAAATATATATTTATATATAAAAGAGTTTTGGAGTAGGGGAAAACCAGAGTACCTGGTGAAAAACCCATTTAAAAAAAAAAAAGAAAGAAAAACAAAGAACTTAGAAAACAAATAATACTAAAAAAATAGTTTTGGCGTAGGGGAAAACCAGGGTACCTTGTGAAACACCCATTGAAGAGAAAGTAACTACTAGTAAGCTACCAGAACATATTTGCCACAAAATTACATAAAGATTGATTGTCGACCTTCTAACATAGCCCTTTCATTGATTCTTTGGATCACTTCGTCAACATTTCTTTTTTTATGACGATTTCTTTGCAGTCTTATCAAGTATTGGATGTTGGACGGTAATTCATCTATGCGATAAATATGGCCATCTACCATAATGAGGTTTGGGTCAGTTGGTTTGGGTCTAGCCTTTTTAGAAATTGGCGGTAGTACTGCAAGACTTGGTTTCATCTCTTGCTGATTTTTTCTGGACACATGTTTTCTTGAGGAAATTGGTGGTATTACTGCAAGACTTGGTTTCATCTCTTGCTGATTTTTTCTGGACACATGTTTTCTTGGGGAAATTGGTGGTATTACTGCAAACCTCCCAACCTCTCCACCAGTCTGTTTCTGTCTGTTCCTGTCTGTTCTTGAGCTCTTTTTCATCCTAGTAGCAGTTGGAGTGATCTTGGTTACGTCAATCTGGGTTTGTGGGGGTAGCCATTGTTTGAGTATTGGTGGCACCCTTTCCCTAAGACCGTTTATGACATTTCTGAATTGCTCTGCCTTTACCCCTGGCTGTTTTTGTTGTGGAACAGTGTGTGTTTCCTTCTCGGGCATTCTGTCCATGGGGTGTGGCTTATCATTGGTCTGTTGGGGCGGCAACTCTTCAAATGGTCCTATAAGCTCCTTAAGGCTTATTTTCTCCAGTTGTTTATTTTGTCTTAGGCCTCTACTTTGTCTGAAGTCTATGTCTTCCACTCGGTGTGGCTTATGCTTGGTCTGTTGGGGAGGCAACTTTATAGATGGTTCTATCACCTCCCTTGTTTTCTCCAGAGGTCTATTTTGTCTTAGACCTCTACTTTGTCTTAAGTCTACTGGTTTAGGCATAATTGGTGGCAGTGGTTTCTTTTTGGTTTCCTCTGATGTTGTTGGAAATGATGCGCAATTGGAGGCGTTTGTTGCTGATTTAGTCTGGCCTGTGGGTGGTGGTTTCATTTGTTGAGATTTCATCGGGTCCTTTATGACTTGGATTTCATCTGTGGTTACTGTCTTCCCCTCTGGCTGCTTTTGTGAGCTTGTTGAGGGTTTTTGCAGTTGTTGAACAGTGTCGGTTTTCTTCTCTGGCATGTCTTCCACTCGGTGTGGCTTATCATTGGTCTGTTGGGGAGGCAACTTTATAGATGGTTCTATCACCTCCCTTGTTTTCTCCAGAAGTCTATTTTGTCTTAGGCCTCTACTTTGTCTTAAGTCTACTGGTTTAGGCATAACTGGTGGCAGTGGTTTCTTTTTGGTTTCCTCTGATGTTGTTGGAAATGATGCGCAATTGGAGGCGTTTGTTGCTGATTTAGTCTGGCCTGTGGGTGGTGGTTTCATTTGTTGAGCTTTCATCAGGTCCTCTATGACTTGGATTAAATCTGTGGTTACTGTCTTCCCCTCTGGCTGCTTTTGTGGGCTTGTTGAGGGTTCTTGCAGTTGTTGAACAGTGTCGGTTTTCTTCTCTGGCATGTCTTCCACTCGGTGTGGCTTATGCTTGGTCTGTTGGGGAGGCAACTTTATAGATGGTTCTATCAACTCCTTGAGGCTTATTTTTGTCATATTGGGTGGCGGTCGTTTCTTTTGGGGTTTTTCGACTGGTAACTCTTCTGGTGTTGGTGATAAAGCTGCTGTTTCCTTTTTCAATACTTTTTTCTCATACATTGCTATGTCCTTCTCTAATTGTTTAAGTTCTCTATGTTCAGCATTTTGTCTAAGTAAATCTTTCTGTTTTTCTTTGTATGTCATTTCCTCTAAATCAATTTCCGGATTCATACATGATGTTTCTAATGGAGTCATGTTTTCCCATTGATCTTTCCCAAAGAGGCCTACAAGGGTACCAGTGTTTGTCCAGAGTTTCACATTGTAGTTCAACTCTGCAGTAATTATTTTTTTACCAGCAGGATCACATGCCACACTTACCAACTCAGAAAGCCCTGCTACCCATGATGCTAACAGCGGAGGAGACTGTAAGGGGAATTTCTGCCCATTCATTGTCTCAAATTTTTCATCTTCAACTGTTGTTTGAAGGCCAAATTTCTGAATATCATACAAACAAACTACTCCTTTGCTATCTCCTGTGACAAGAATTGTGTCTTTTTCTGACACCGACACGCAGGTAATCTTTTATCCCCTTTTACTAGCTTGAACCTACATATCATTCCTCCATTTGCTTTTGTTGACCAGGCAGTAACGTAGGAACCCGCTATAATTAACAGTGTAGCTAACTGAGAACTAACCTCTCTGGTCCTGAGACATTTCACCAAATAAGTTCTTTTTGTTCCTTTACTTACCATCTTCGTAGAATCGAGAAATTTATTGTGGTATGATGTAACATTGTATATTTGTGGGCTGTTTGTTGATGATTTTAAATTACAGGTGAGAATATTTCCATCGGTGCATGCTGAGATAAGTATGTCTTCATGGTAATCCATGGAGCAGACATTGAGTAATAATGAATGCTCGCAAACTACTTTTAATTTTCCTTCAGTGTCCACTCTGAAGATTTTTGAGGAATTCTTTGTGGAAAATAGCTTTTCTTCATTTGTGCAGAGCATACTGGTGATGTCACCTGGAAATGCTTTTAAGACATCAAGCAATTCTCCACTGTTAAAGTTCCACTGTTTAACTGTCCTGTTGATAACTGTGATCAGTTTGCGTTGGGTTTCGTTGAAGGAAATGAAACACGAAATTAATTTTTTTTCTTTGTCTTCGGGAGAAATGTTGAAATTCATTAGAGCTCTTCCATTATAAATATCCCATACTTTCAGCTGACCTTTCTGACAAACAGAGATAACTTGTTGGTATTTGGTGTGATAGAGCATACTGCATAAAGGTTGTCTATGGGACGTCATGGACATATGATATTTCTTGGTTCTGTTAAAGAAAAATAAATATTTTTTAGACTTTATTACAGTTAATCTTATGGCATGTGTAAACACTCTCACTTTAACATATTTCTTAATTTTGAACAAGGCTGTGTTAATGATTTAAAACTACTAATGGGTAAGTATTCAAAGCACAGGAGGCCCCCGCATTCCACAAGCTGTCTGTGAGAGCTTATCTTGTGTTTTACGACCCTGGGAATGCTAGATGCCAGGACAAGCTTTCCGCCTTTTCTTGTTAAAACAAAGAAGCAAATGACCCCAGATGTTTGCAGTAAATAAGGGGAAGCCCTAGCAGTGTCAGAGATGGCGTTTGATTGGAGGACCGAGGGCCAGCCCCTTTTTGAATGGATTAGATACAAGAGGATAAGCTTTCGAAATAGAAGAAAAAGATCAGATTTGCCCTTGCAACTCTCCAAAGATGTCTCTGTACTCTTTGCTTTCTTTCCTCCTATGTCAGGTAATGGAATGTATGTCTCTGTTGTTCTGCAGTTTCTGGTGTAGGTTTGTGCATTGTCTTATTTCTAAAGTGTATGCATTGTCTTATATTGGATTAAACTCTGTAATTCTGTGACGTCAACACGCAATGTTGGTTTTATTACCAAACGCAGCTCGCCGAGTGGACCTGGGGAAGGGAAGAATCAGAAGCCAATCTTTTTCCAAAGTTAACTATGTTAGAATATTTTCTTCCTTTACAATTGGGGGCTCGTGCCGGTTCTGGAGTCTCGGCGGACGGCTGTTTGGTCCTGATTGATCCGTTTCGGCCCGACGCTTCGGTGTGGTAAGACAGTATTTGATTATTTTTTCAGTTGTCTGAAGCGCCGTGTGGTCGGACCGGGGCTGATTTGCTGTGTGCGGCCTCACAGAATTCAGATGCTGCAGAGGTAGATAAAATCCCTTCTAAAAGAGTCAGTTGTTTAAGGATTTGAATAAATACACATTACAGGGAACTGTGGCTAGTTCAAACAGAGCCTTTACGTTAACTCTGACTTAAGCTGGGTTTTTTAAAAGAAGGTTTTATTGATTGATTAATTAATTAATTAATTGATTAATTAATAAAGATTAATTTATTCTTTTTACCCTGAGGAGCAATGCCTGGGCCTCTAAAAAAGTATTTTGGAAATTTGTGTATTGGTTAGTTTTGGCTTGTATCAGCCGGAGATTTCGACTCATCTCCAGTGGACTTATAATTATTTGGGTTAATTGGATCGAGTTGTATCACTCATGGAAAAGGACTAATAGCAGGTTAATTGGACCGAGTTGTATCACTCATGGAAAAGGACTAATAGCAGGTTAATTGGACCGAGTTGTATCACTCGTGGAAAATAAAGGACTAATAGCAGGTTGGATCACCTTTCTTTGGCACCCTTAAGCGGGTTGCTTATAGTATAAAGGACTAAAATAAATTATTTGATTTAATACGGGTTCAATCGCTCTCCCCAGCTGAAAAAGAAAAAACCTTTTGTCACTGGGCGGATTGAGTGATCGAATAAACTAAATTGAGGCTTATTTTCGCCTCGAGCTTGACCCAGCTCTGAAGTGTAGGACTGAGAAGTTGAAATGAGAATAAAAGGGATTTGTAAAATTGAAATTGGACAATTAAAAGATGCGTCATACATTCTTTTAGCCGGCTCCTGACGTTTTCTTTTCTTTTTTTTCTGTCTTTTCTTGACTGAACTACAACGTTGTCTGTGTTTCTGTGTTTTGTAAGTTTCTTTGTGTTTGTGTGCGTGCTTGGCTGCGGGTTGATCTATTGCTGTGTCTGTCTCCCCCGTTATACTGTAGCCTATGTCCCACCACGCGCTGCTGTCTATTCGTCTGTCTGTGTCTGAATTGTGCTGAGATTGTGCGGAAGTGATTTGTGTTTCAAGATTGTGTTCTGAAATATTGTTAAATATTTTTGCTGGATGTTGTATTACTAACTTTCTGTTAAAATGTGCTTCTGTGGGACAGCGGTGTCTCCGTTTTGGATGCAAGTTTTGTTTCACAGCAGGGGGACTGATTGACCCCCCTTATTTGCATTTTGGGAGTGCTTCAGTTCTGTGCTATTTCCAGCTCACGCTTTCAGGATTCTTGGATTTTGATGTGAATTGCTTTAGGACTGTATTTTGTGTTGAAATGAAAAGTACAAAATAACAGATTTACAGATGTTTTTACTTTCTCAGCGGGTGAAATGTGTTGCATCAGTTCCAGGCTAGAGCACTGGAATGATCCAATTGTTTTTTATAATACTGTAACATTGAAAATCACTTAAATTTCTAGGTTTCCTGACAGGATGGAACACCCTCACTGATTGTAAGAGAACAAAAATGAGAACATATGGATGTTTTTCTGCGTAACAGTGTTTTCTACACTGTTAATGTGGGACATGTTGAAACACTAATGAATGACTTTGTTTCTTGTAGGACGATCTTCGTGTGCAGCCCATTTCGCATATTACATGACCACATGAACGGTTTTTGGGTTTTCCTACAGGGGGTATAGGTAGCCATTTAATAACAGTGGGCTATCATGAAATACGGTTGTGTGTATAATTTGGAGTTTTTAAAAAGGTTCACTCAAAACTGAACAATATTAGAACTATAAGATAATAATGTCTTTTTATTATTTTTTTCAACCATGGTGTTATAATATTTGTGTTTAAGACTTTTACAGGATGAATTTTGGTTTGAAATCTGGGGTAACATCCTGCATCTTTCTTACAATGTGTTGATGAGTGCTTGAGTGTGAATGAGAGTGAATGTGTAGGCTGATGGCCTTTGATGGGTTTTAGGATGCTCTATGTAAATATGACCTCAGTTTAGTGTGTAGCTGTGTGATATTTTTCTTATTTTAAACTATTTAGGTACACTGAAGGTTTTGTTTCATAAATATGTTTTTATTACTGCTTTAAGGGACAATTTTAAGGTAATGACGATTTCATATTTTGGTGTCACAATCTGGTTGAAGCTGAATCTTCTGCTTGTGCAGTGAAATTAATATGAAACGAGAATTCAGCCTTGGCTTAAAGCAGATAGATGTAGTTGTTAGGAAATTGTGTTATCCACTTTGACTAACAACACTAACAAACTAACCTAAATTCTAACTAAATAAACTTGGTTTATATTTCATATGGGTGACTGATTGGACATGTTGAAATGTTAGCATAATGGGGGTAAGTTCTTCCATTTTTGTTTTTCCACCTCTAAATTGTTTTTCTTTTGGAAATAAGAAAACACAGGGGGATGTTATAAAGATAAGACATTACAGATGGAACTTTGAAATTTACATAATCTCAGTCTAGTTTGAATACTAGATGGAAGATTTGGAGAAATGGTGGAACATCTTATGATATTTTGGTTTTTCAGCAAATTATTATATAAAAATGACATAGATTCCAAATTGTTTTCAAAATGGTAATTTTATTATATCAACAGGGGGAGAAGCAGAAGCAGACCCTAATTCCTGGTAAATTTTTGGATATGGTTAATGGTAAATTAGTTAATCAATAATTTTGATTTTTTTCGATTCAACAATAGTGAATTATGGATTTCTTTAATGTAGAGTCATATGGCCTTCCTGCTTTACTACAATATGTGTATGAGATATAGGAAGCTTTCCCACTAAAACTAGATTTGATCATCTCAAATTGAACGTTTCAAGATAACATCTATGCCATGTCTATTTACATTTTTAAATTGTTGATAATTTCTGAATCACTCTGCCTTGATTATATACAGTTGGGTGTAAATTATTTAATTTTGAGAAAAATTTGGTGTAAAACTGCTATGAAATTTCAGATAAATGTAACAGGATTTCTGAAAATTTTGAAATAGGACTTGTCTTGAAGCGTGGGACAATGATAAGGATGTTTGGTTATTTAGTAGACACAATATCAATTCATAATAATTTGACAAGGCAATTCCATCACAACTTTATAAGATCATACTTGGACATTCTAGAAGGTTTTGTTCTAATTTCTTATAATGAGTTTTGTGAGTGTTTTTGTGATTATTTAGAGTGCAACTTTGAGTTCTCTGGTAGAGGCAATTAGTGCGTGCGCCGAGAGTCATGAGAGTACTCATGTCTACGTGTGAGACTTGATTTGATGAGTGGCGTGTTATAGACGTTAGCTGATAAGGTAGATCATCACCGGCGAGGTTATTATCGCTACATATTTTATGCGAACAGTTGTCTGTGTGCACAGTCGCGCGGTGCGGAGCGAGTGGTGGACAGATAGGTAACGAACAGAGTGTATGCATCTGGAGAGTATCGTATTATCTATGACATGAGCTGGGAAGTATTGTGGGGCAGAGAGTGTCCTGCATGTAGAAGACGATCGAGAGCGTCGCAACAACTGATGCGGGGATCGGAGCCGTCATGGTTTAGACTGGTAGTATTAGCTGCACTAATAGAGTGTAGAGGCTTCACTAGGAGAGATGTGGACTGGAGTTGTTAGTCTAGCAAATAGTGAGTGATCAACTTATAGATAGTAGGGCGCAGTGTGAGGATCACGGCGGCAGAGACACACACGATATCTAGTAAGATAATCAATTAATGTGATATCTCTCTCCTCAGGGCGTCGAGTATTTCTCCTTCCTTCTACTTGATGGAAATCTCGGGGGAAAGGTCTTTGACTCAGAGATCAATGGGAAGATGTTATTGAAGATCTTCTTTGATTACCGCATCAGGCCGCTGTTGTTGCTGAATCAAGACCTGATGATGCGAACTGTGACCCATCTTATGCTGGACTGCATCGCATGAAAATGCCAAACGCTGATTGAGCGATTACGAAGTCAGTGTAGGCGAACTAGTTACTGGCAACAGATGCTTCTCCTTTTGACTGTTGCTTTTCATGCCTGGCTTAAAACAGAAAGGACTCCAGGCTTATCTGTGGAGTCTTCATGCTGGAAATCACATGATCGGACCAACAAAGAATCATAACAAACCCGACGGGGGCTTCATAGATGACAGGTCTGCTGGTTTCTCCTATGATCCTGCTCTGTCGACCACGAAAGGCTGAACCAACGTTCATCAAGCGGACTGTATCCAGCATGTTTCTGCACTGCTGGAATGACGCTTACTCTAAGACACTATGCTGATTCAGTCAGATACAAATTGGGGCATGCAAGTCCGCTCAGAGTGGTCCAGATGTGTGGTCTCATGTTTATCCTGGATCTCACCTCTAGATCACTGTGACCTGGCGCAAAAGGACCACTCCTGGTTCCCTTCAGGTCTGCCAGTTTGGAGACGAAATGGGTGCCAACACACATACTTGGTAGGGTAATAATTCTTTTCTTAAATTTTTGTAGTGTGTGAGATGGCCATTGTTCTCTCTCTTAATTTAGAATAGCTCTGAGGCGACCCTGATTTTCTTCACGGCCTGCAGCCCTGCATCTGTAATTCTAGGTGGTTTGAGGAAAACCCCATCTCCTGGGTCAGAGGTTTTAACGATCAGTTAGGATTTGTCGTGCACCAACGTACGACACTGCATTCACCGTCCATGATTCACTCTGTTTTCTCCACAACATAGCTACTCGATGTTTTTTCATTTCCCCTTCCTCCTCGGGAAAGATGCTCAGACAGACGTATGGACTGGGCATTTACTTTTTTTTAACTATAGCTGCATTGCATTGTGTAGACTAGGAGCACTTTCATCACAGCACATGAAGTGCCGACACTGACTCTACTCTGCTATCATCTGAGCGAGATACAGATCAGTAGACAACAGAGCGAGCGCACACTCCACAATCACAGATCCATCACTCAACAGCGCTTTCCACCATATTTAAGACCTGAGTCGCTACTTCAACCATTCGGGGACATATGAAACGCTAACTCACTATCACACGGAGTATGATCTGAGACGCGTTCGAGCTCTCGGAAGTAGTGAGTCTCAGATCGTATACCTATGCTCACTCCACCGAGCTCACCCCTCTATAATCTAGCGATCTCACAGCGAGACCTTGAGAGCGCGCATTATTATAGCTTGCTCTCTCTTATAGTGCAACTAACGGAGTAGACTATATGGAACACACAACACGGCGTCGTTAGGAGGTGGGAGTTTGGTAGCAGTGAGAGCAGTGACAGCTTGTACATCAAACGCACCCCCTTCATTCCAATCCACCCCATCTCTCTCGTGGTGGTTTGAGCTTGAGGCTCACTTTTGTGTTGGATTAGTGAGATGATCGATCTCAGTAGTGAGAGTATATCTATCTCTATATAAGGGTGGGGTGGAGTGTTTATGATATTGGGGAGGAGTGGTTTATACACCTCGCACCCCTAAACACACACTATCTATCGCTCGTCTTGGTGAGTGTAATTCTTGGTGGGTAGAGATGGGTAGGGATTTTGGTGGGTTGTTTGATTTTGTATGGTTTGGGTTGTAGGTAATGATGTTAAGTGGTGAGATATTGTGGGTGTTGTATTTGGTTTTGTTATTGTGTTTATTATATAATTGTTGGGTATTTATATTTTTTGAATGATTTTTATTTAGTTTAGTTGTTGGGTGATGTTTTTGTTGTATATATTGTATTATGTTTTGAAAGATGTGTTTATATATTATACATAAATGGTTGTAAGATTAGTTTTGGTAAGAATGGTTGATTGGGTCTTTTGAAGCGCTCTCCAATCAAAAGGCATGATAATTGAATAAACAATAATAAAAAGGTATTACATTATTCAATTAAATAGTTTAAAATATTTTAAATGGAAATAAAAAAAAAAAAGATCAAAGTAAAAAATGGGTTGAAAGTTTTGGGTTTTAAATATATTGAATCAATGTAGGGCATTTTTGATATTTAGTGACTCATTATAGCAGCTGATCATTCTTTTAAGGTTTTAAAAAAATAGAAAATATATGATTGAAATTAAATTGTCGAATTGGAATTACAAATTAACAGTTATGGAACTGCTTCTAAAATACATTAAGTTTTGGGTGTAACATATAGGAAACTTCAATGTCTCAGTAGCCTTATATAAAAAGAGGTCAAAGATTGATAAAAATGCAACACAAAGTAGTCAGATTTTATAATTACAAAAGGAAGACAGTGGAAGCTGTCAAAAGTGTAGATCAATCATTAACCAATCAACAGGGTTCTCTCCATATGAGCTCCAGACAGGACGGATGTTTCCAGGACCTGCTACCCGCATTCCAGGATGGAAAGGTAAGCTTGCACATTTATCTCATAAAGATTTCTTCAATGAGTTACAGGTCCTGGCAGCAGAATTTACAAAATACCAGACGTCACAGGAACGTCCAGGCTCGGGATCAGTTCGGGGAATCGACTGGGTGCGCCTGATGGTCATCAAAAGAAAGTGGTCTGAACCTCGCTTCGCCAGACCATACCAAGTCGTGGAGAGTACATCTCAGGCTGTCCGTCTACAAGAGAGAAGGAGACACGTGGTTCCATTGGAGTCAGCTGAGGAGCCACAACGCACGCTGCAGGGCATACAGGAGAATCTACAGTCTCAACCTGCGGTCGAGGAGTGTCTGAGGGCCATCACAGCGCGGAGGAGGATCTGCATTTCCGGGCAAAAGTCTGCCAAAACCACTTCATTTTCCTGAATTACAAGGCCTAAAAGGCCCAGACAGGCACAATAATCCTGTTCCGGTGTCCTTCCATTGAGAAAAGGAGATTGCACCCTCTCCTTAAACTCACTGTTAAATTGGCATAATACTCCAATTTTCAGTGAGCAACGGACACTCAGGTGGAAAACCTGAGGTTTACAACCGAGGAGGAACACGTGAAGGATCCAGCTACAAGATCATCATTAACTTATCTTCTTTTTATTGCGTGTTTTCGTTTTTGCGAACTCTTCAAGAACATTCGTTTCTTTTTGCGCGTATTTTTGGATCGTTTCCTGACGAAGAATTCATATTCATTTTTGAAAGACTATCGAAGGAGCATAGAGACGAACTCTAACTTCTTATTATTGAATTGTGAAAAAAAAAAAAAAAACTATTTTGTAATTTTTAGGTGTTTATGATGTATTTCTTGATGTTGTTATTGTTTTTTATTGACAAATTGTAGTTTTTGTGGTGAATATTGTCTTTTAAGTCTGCTGAGCATTTTTTAGTAATTTTGAGATATCTTACTTTTATTTTTTATTTTTTATTTCATATTCTGGGCTGATATTCCTATTGTGTGTTTGCTTCTCTTTCAGATAACTGAGTTTTATGATTTTTCATATTTGATAAGTGAAATGTATTTTTAGTTTAGTTTTTACTGGTTAAAATTTTGTGGTTCATCAGGTGAGTATTAAATTGTTGGACAGCGCAAGATACATTTGATAAGTTTAGATTATGGAGTTCAGCTTTAGACACATGGCCTGGCAGGGGACCTAGGAGGTGCTGTTTAAAAAAGGGGACTGTTATAAAATTGGGCTAATGTTTTAGTTTTTTAGTATACTAAATAATTTTTTGGTTCCTCTATTAGAAGGCTTAATCATTTTATTTGTGAGGTCTGTATGTCTCAGACCTCAAAACGGGGACTGTTAAAGAAAAATGATTATTTTTTAGACTTTATTACAGTTAATCTTATGGCCTGTGTAAACACTCTCACTTGAACATATTTCTTAATTTTGAACAAGGCTGTGTTAATGATTTAAAACTACTAATGGGTAAGTATTCAAAGCACAGGAGGCCCCCGCATTCCACAAGCTGTCTGTGAGAGCTTATCTTGTGTTTTACGACCCTGGGAATGCTAGATGCCAGGACAAGCTTTCCGCCTTTTCTTGTTAAAATAAAGAAGCAAATGACCCCAGATGTTTGCAGTAAATAAGGGGAAGCCCTAGCAGTGTCAGAGATGGCGTTTGGTTGGAGGACCGAGTGCCAGCCCCTTTTTGAATGGATTAGATACAAGAGGATAAAGCTTTCGAAATAGAAGAAAAAGATCAGATTTTGCTCTTGCAAACTCTCCAAAGATGTCTTGTACGTCTTTGCTTTCTTTCCTCCTATGTCAGGTAATGGAATGTATGTCTCTGTTGTTCTGCAGTTTCTGGTGTAGGTTTGCGCATTGTCTTATTTCTAAAGTGTATGCATTGTCTTATATTGGATTAAACTCTGTAATTCTGTGACGTCAACACGCAATGTTGGTTTTATTACCAAACGCAGCTCGCCGAGTGGACCTGGGGAAGGGAAGAATCAGAAGCCAATCTTTTTCCAAAGTTAACTATGTTAGAATATTTTCTTCCTTTACAGTTCCCCTTCCAAAACGTTTTCCAATTATTGTGTTGGCCACATACAACTCATTGTTGTAGACGTTGTAAAGAGCACTGGTGATTGGTGAATTCTGTACCAGTTCACTGGGATTAAGCATCTCTATGCAGGTCAGGCTCATGTCGCTCCAGATAAGTATCTTTTTGTCTAATGATATGCTGATGAATACATTCTCCACAGGATTGTACAGAATGTTGGTGACAACATTTTTGTGTCCTTGTAATTCTTTAAAATGACTGGTTTGGAGGTAAAGCCACGCGCGTATTTTGCCCTTTCGTCCCCCCGTCAAAATATGGCCCGTTCTCGGAGAATAAGCAACACAATTGAAGTACTCTTGGTATTTTGGGCTATTAAGCACCATAATGGGTTTCTCCCCTTCTTCAAAGACGCACTTAATAAATCCCATTGTTGAAGCTGTTTGACCACATACTATAACAGACTTTAAATCGGGCATGTAACTGACTTGCTTGCAAATGTCATTGAAAACAGAAACCGTCAAAGTGTCATGGCAGTCGCATTTATGTTCCAGCAGTGATGAGAAACTTTCAGTTTCTGGATAAAACTTACGACCCTGTCGAAAGCAGTATAAATGTTTCTTAAATATGTTGTATGAGACGAACACATACAAATATCCTCTTGAGTCGCCGCAGATAAAAATTCCTACATTCCCAGATTGGTAGTAGTCCATAGCTGTAATGTCTTCACCCGTGAAGCAGAATTGAATCTTTGGAGTATCACCCAACATTTTATAAAAAAACATTTCTCTATCAGATGTTGAGACAACCATCGTTTTTTGAGCGTTGATGTACACCATGTCTCTAACTTGAATTTTGGGAATTTGGGAATAAGGAATCCTGTCCTTTCCTTTGTCATAAATGGGTACATTTTGCAATGGTTCAAAGTTATTCGACCACAAAGTCATTATGCCGTTTGAAGTCACAGTGGCGTATTCACAGATTTTGTAAGGTCTGAGAGGTTCCAATGAACAATGGCTCCTAAAATCCAGAAATTGTTCACTGAATTTTGGGTACATAACTGTTTTCACAATGTTTCTTTTAAACATAGTTTTTGTATATGTAAAATCAGTAGGCAAGGCGTTGTTCTTTAAGTACATATCCTTCGTTTTTTCATCTTTCTTCAAAGAATAGTCCAACAGTTCATTTAGGTCCACAGTTCCATCACAATTTGTGTCAATTTTCATGTGCAGTAGTTCAACGTCTTCCATGGTGATTTGGGGACATATTTCCTTCATCACATCATAAAATTCATCAATGTCCAAGCCTCCGCTTCCATCAGTATCTGCCTTTTTGAACAATTTACAGACGTCTTCAAGATTTTTTCCCTGGAAAAAATTGTCTATTTCCTCATTAGTCAAAACGCCCTTTCTGCTCTCCTGCTCAGTATGTTGGCCTTTTTCCATGTTGTACTTTTCAGATAAACAAGCTTCCATTAAATAAAATATTTGCATATACTAACTCCAGCTACCAGTCACCTATGATTCCTGTCAGAGAACTAATGTCAAGTGTAGAATTCTGCACTCTGAAAGTCTGTGATGTCAGACAAGAATTCTGGGCGGGGCTTTGATGACGTCATCATTTCACGTGGGAGGGGCCTTTTCTTTTTTTCTTTTCTTTTTTTTTTTCAGTGTCCTGTCTGGCAATGTGGTAATAAGAATAATTGTCTTGATGCCAAAAAGAGCCCAACAGATTTTACTAACACAAGTGTAGCAGTATGGCAATTGCCATATTGCTCCATTTGTTTCATGCATATAAATTGCTTTATTATAATTATGCAGGGAGTTTTAGAGTTTATATGGACACTGCAATGTAAATAGAGCAGAAAAACAGAAGAAGAAAAAGGAAAGAGAAAAAAAAGAGAAAAGATGAAAGAAAGAGGAGATAGAAAGGAGACAATGACAAAACATTTTCAGTCTGTTTCATCACCTGCAACGAGATGTAAAAAGAACAGCACAACCAAAAGACATGGTACGAGACATACAATAAAGCAACACCTTGAAACTATCGCTGAAGTAGTATTAATAAGTCTGACATGTACTCTGTGTTAAATGAAGATATGAATGTAGACTTTCTGTATGGAAGTGAGTCTCTGAGTACCTGGAACCAAGCACCTGTAATTGTTTGTGAGGGTGCACTTTTGCATGTAAAGTTTATCCATAGAGAAAATGCTCAATAGTGGTTGTGGAGAGCCTAAGAGGCGCACCCCCCAGAGTACTGAGTCCAGCGCCGGGAGACCCAAAGCCCCAGACGACTTGAGATGTGTTTGGGAGAGGGGGCAGTTCAGATCCCAACCTGGGAGAAAAAAATTTATTTCGAATAAAAATTAAATAAAAAAACTCACAATCTCAACCACGCTTTCCCTCCCTAGTGCCCCCACTCGCACCACAGAAACAGGAAAAAAAAAACCCCAAAAAACTCGGACACACATTCACACATAACACTCACATCCAATAATACCAGGACCAAAGACCCGGCGGTACCGGTGGTTGGTCCCGGGATTATCGGATGACGCAATAAGTGAACCTAAGAGGGGTGGGGCCCTTTCTGTCATTTTTTTCCCCTCCAAATCTGTTTGTCTTTTTACATTTCAGAGACATACAGACAGATAACTCACAAGTGCACAAAACACCTAACAAAACCAAAAGAAAACACATTAACAAATTAAACATTCAAGGCAAAAAGCATTTAAAGATTACAGTGAGACAAAATATTTTAAGTTTGATATCTCAGGGGTGTATGTTGAGACTTAGTCCAAGATATTTAACCACAGTCCACAAGCTGGGTATGAGGTAATGGCATCGTCCTCCCTGGTTCTAGGCATCCCGACATCAATGTTTTCGTTTCATACATTTTTTGAACAGGTGAGTACATTTGGAATTAGCTTGAAGATAACAGACTTACAGCCACTATAAGAATAAAGACATAAGCAGAATTTGCCAGAGTACATTCAGTCAATCCTCATGAGTATTCAAATTTTCCAAGAATAGCAAAAAATTTTCCCATATCTTTTTGAACACATAGTATTTACCCTTAATCATCAAGGTGAGTTTCTCCAGGCCAGAGAGCTTGATAGTGTGCACATCCAAGTTTTAAGTTGGGGTCTGGTTACAGATTTCCAGGACCTGGCTATACTATATTTAGCCTGCACCAAACAATAAATTATGGACTTTTGATCAACCTTGCTTATTTGAGTTTGAGTGGGAAAAATTCCTAAGACACACAACCTAGGACAGAGATTGTGTTTTATTACCGACGGTAAGTGAAATTTTATCCAACACCTCCTTCCAAAATTTCTGAATCTCAGGACATTCGCAAAGGCAGTTAAATAAATTACCTTTATCTCCACACTTAGCACATGTATCCGGAATGTTGGGGTTAAATTTATTTAGTAGTGTTAGAGTAACATATGTTCTCATCAACCATTTGTATTGGATTAACTTAAATTGAGTACTAATAGATTGTGTCTGTGCCTTCCAACAGGCCCTCGGCCATTCCTTTACCAGTGATGGGCAGTAGCACCGCTACATGTAGCGAAGCTATTAGTTTAACTACATTTTCCAGTAGCCTCACCGTAGCGTCGCTGCTTTATTTATCAAGTAACTTTCCTGTAGCGACGTTATTGTTTTGATCAAGTAGCGACGTAGCGTCCACAAACGCTACAAAATCCAGGGCAAAACTTAGAAATGAAACCAGGTTTTCTATTTTGAAACAACAATCAGCCACAAGCTACTGTAAATAGCAGTTTCAGCTGACGCTCTTATAAGTGGCGTAGTAGCGGAGGCACACTCAGTAGAGTTAAACAAGCGCACCCTTTCCGAGGCTGTCGTTCTATTGGCTGGAAAGGTTGCTAGGCAACGATCCAACTGCAGTCTGAGAGACCAAAAAAAATCCGCAAGCAGAGCCTACGGGTTTGCGTGCGTATCTGTGACTCGTGCAGAGCGCGGATTGTGCGCGAAGAGAAGGAGGCAAGCGAGAGGAGAAAATATCTGTGCAAGAAGGATTAAATCTGAGAGAAGAAACAAAGAGAGAAGAGAAAATATTTGAGAGAGAGCGCATGTTTTGAGTGTGAGCATTATAAGTTTTGAGAGCAAGAAGATGAAATTCTTTTCTCAAATTGAAATGATGTGCTCTTGCATTATGGCAGGATAATTCTCCCATATCTATGTGCCACTAAGATACTCTAATTAGAGAGCAGTAGTGAAACTTCCATATTGTGTTTTCATGGCCTAGTTTACCTGACAGGATGTTTACATAAATCTGTTTTTAGGCTTTGCAAAGACAAGATGTTTTTATTTATGGAGGAACAGCTCTACCGTATATAAAATAAATACATAAATAAATAAATGCTCAATAAATAAATAAATAAGCATTCAATTAATTGCCTCCAAAAATACAATGAATAAATATGTAGGTAGAAATTAAATTAAATGGTGAGCCATATATATATGTATCTCTTAATTAGCTTCTTTATTTTTTCCCCTTCTTTTGTAAACAGTTTTGTTTGTTACTTGAATCAACTGTTTAATTGAGGTCTTTTGTAGGGTTTTGTTTTCCCTAGAGATGTCCATTGAATGCAAGCTCATAGCCATGTCTCGGTGTGTAGAACACTACACAGTACCTTTAATTTGGTTCTAATAACAGCAGATTGTTTACTAGTTTGTCTACTAGTAATTACTTTAGTTTTTATTTTAATATGCTGATCATAAAGCAATGTTTACACTGTGATATGTCATTGGCTGATCTTTAATAAATATTTTAACTAGTGTGTCAGACTCATTTTGAATTGACATTAGGTTGGTACAACGTTAAGTAGCTTCTGATGTAGTTAAGCTACTTTGAACACATTAGTGTAACTTAGCTTGCTATAATTCTTTAGGTGGTAGCTGTTGTGTAGTGAAGCTTAATTTATTGTTGAGTAGCTGATAGCTTAGCTCACTACACTGAACAAGTAGCTTGCCCAACACTGTCCTTTACTGATATATTACATTTCAAGTCTTCACACCATGCCAATCGTTTGTATTCTGAGGATGTCTGGGAGCTGTCTTTGATGATGTTTTAAAAACGGGAAATTAGGTCCTTCTTCAAATGGTCATTTGTTACCAATTCTTCTATAGAAGTAAGAATAGGCAATGTTAGAGACTTTTGAGTACCCATTACAAAACTTCTGATTTGCAGAAACGTAAAAAAAGAGTTTAGTTGGAAAGTCAAATTTTTGTTTCAAATCTTCAAAAAACTCATCATAATCCCTTTATCAACTAAGTCTGAGATTTTGCATAAACCTTTAGCAAACCATGTTCTAAAACCGATGTCTGTCCTACCTGGTTCAAATGACATATTGCCCCAGATCGGGGAGAATTGGGATAGTGTTGGTATTTCATTTTGTTAAAGTATTTTTAACAAATGGGTTGGAAGTATTTTTTAATAATTATTTGTATTTCCTTGAGTATAGATATGAATTTAGGGATAAAGGAGTGGCATTTATATTTTCTATTTTTACCCACGACAGATCAGTTGCTGAAAACCAGCAAGATGCGCTAAAGAGCTGAGAAGCCCAGTAATACCACTTGAAATTTGGCACAAAACGTTTCAATGAATTAATACCCTACTTTACAGAAAAGTGTCTCATAAAAGTTGTAAAAATAGCAGATCTAGTTCAACACATCATATTGGTTAATATAGCAAACAGAAAGCTAACAAAATGTACAATAAAGAAATGGTTTTAGACTTAGAAGGTTTCTGATCTACTCTGAATCATGCATTACACACAGATCAATAAAAATTTTCAATACTCCAAAAAAGCAAACGACAAAAAGATCCTTCTTTCTACTTTGGCAATTATGGCTTTATTTTAATTCACCCTTTAGTTACCGCTGCTCAGGTCAAAGTAAATTTAAACTACATAATTAACCTACATAATTGCCTTTTAATACCATGACAATCCAGACCTAAATTAAATGACTATGTGAACTAAATGTTTTACATATTGAAAGGAAACAAAGAAAATGTTGTAATAGCAATAGAAGGAAACATTTACATTTGAATAGATATAAACAAGAACAATGAGAGAGAAACATCCAAAGATCTATGTACCTTTTCACCTGGCTCTTCGTCCAAAAATAAAAAGAATGCAATGCAATATTTGGTTTGGATATAATTTAGGGATTCATTTTGGTAGAAATTAAATAAGGTTTAGCATCACCTATTGTGAGCTGGAAGAGATAAAATAATGATAGTTAGACAAAGGGGTTTTGTACGCTTGGCAGAGGATGATCAGCCACATATAGTTTCTTAAGAGCAGGAAGAGCCATGCTGCTGAGAGCGAACCATCAGTGTGGAGCATGAAAGCTAAAAGAGTGCAAAGACGCATTTCTGCACAAGCACAGCTGGAAGAGCAGAATTTGTTAGAGTTGAGCGCGTGGTACCGGACCATCCGGGTTATTTTCTCTCCT